ATCACCCGGGACAGAGCTCGCCGCACCATCACCCTGACTCAGTCACACATGGTGCAGCAGGTCCTTCAGCGCTTCGGCTTCCAGTTCTCCTCACCACAGGCCACACCTCTGGCTACCAGCCACTCGCTCTCAGCTCCACCTTCGGACGAGTCCGTAGAGCCGAGTGGCCCGTACCCAGAGCTTGTAGGCTGCCTCATGTACCTGATGACTTGCACGCGACCTGACCTTGCGTACCCTCTTAGCATCCTTGCTCGTTACGTTGCGCCTGGGAGACACAGGCGAGAGCACTGGGAGGCGGCTAAGAGGGTGCTGCGTTACTTGTGCAGTACATCAGGCATGGGGCTGGTGCTTGGAGGACGCGACAGAGTTGTCCTCACTGGTCACTCGGACGCTTCTTGGGTGGACGACCTGGCTACGCAGCGGTCGTCACAGGGTTACACCTTCAGCCTTGGCTCTGGTTCTGTCTCGTGGCGGTCCACCCGCTCTTCCTCTGTTCTCGGCTCTAGTTGTGAGGCTGAGATCTACGCCACAGCCATGGCTGCACAGGAGTTACGCTGGCTCACCTACCTGCTGACTGACTTGGGAGAGCGGCCTAGTTCTCCTCCAGTTCTGTACGGTGACAACAAGGCGGCTCTTGCCTTGTGTCAGGAGCACAGACTGGAGCACAGGACGAAGCACATTGCTCTTCGCTACTTTCTTGCTCGAGAGCTTCAGCAGCGCGGTCAGCTTCGGCTTGTGTACGTGGACTCGAAGGCCAACACTGCTGATATCTTCACCAAGGCGCTCCCGCCTAGTGATCATCAGCGGCACTGTACTTCTTTAGGCCTTGTGTCCACGTTTCCTCACTTGCTCACTGCTTGACATTCTTTGTACTGTACTTTATATATATCTTGTTGCTTGCTTGCTAGGTTTTGATCACTGTGTTGCTTGTCTTGTACTATATCTAGCGCTGCATGTGAACTGGCCTTGTGGCCTTTACTTGTGCTCGGAGTGTGGTGACGTTGTGATCCACCCTGGGCTTTGCTTTGCTTTGCTTTGCTGGACTGGTCTTGTGACCCTTTGTTCTCCCCCACTTTGCCTATGGGGGTGTGTTAAACTGTAGTATGCTTGTAGGCTGTAGTGGGGTAGCCAATATGGGGTACAACCCCAACTAGGGTTTCATATTTGTACCCAAACTTCTGCTAGTTCATTCATTCTTGGCTAGTTATTCTGAAACAGACTACTGACCAAAGCATCTAAGTGTGAGTTCCTACAGGGCATACTGTAGTTTTTAGGGCACACTTTTTTCAGTCGACAGAGTGGAATAGACCCGAAGAAAAAAACGACTATTCAAGCATGGCACGCGCCGACAAACGTGACAGAGCTACAGAGCTTTCTAGGGTTCGTCCCGGACATGGCAAAGTTGACTGCCCCGCTGACAGACCTTGAGTTCACGTGGGGGGAGAGAGAGCAAGATGCACATTTCCGACCCACACCGCCCGGTCACCGACGCAAATGACATCGCCGTGGGAGTAGTACTGTCACAGGACTTCAGGAACAGCCTCCAGCCAATCGCGTACGAGTCCCGCAAACTGCACCCGCTCGTAGGCAACTATCTGATATACGACCGTGAAATGCTGGCGACTATGCACGCATTCAAAGTATGGCGCTGCTACCTGACGGGAGCCGACGTGACAGTACGGACAGAACACCGATAATTACAGTACCTCTGCGCCCAACCAAATCTCAATCCGCTGCAGATTCGCTAGTTGTATTACTTGGAGTCCAACTTCCACAACCGTTACGCACAATAAGGGAGCATCAAATATCGCCGACACACTCACCCGCTATATCGCCCAACTTCACGCCATCCTACTCGCCCAAACCAACCCACTGCTAACAGGCCATTCACCCACAAATATCGCACCGACCCACTTTTCATGACTGAAAATTCACAGCAATTGGCAGAAGCAAATGGAGTCTACTACGTAAAAACGGGCGTTTGGGTACCCACGTACTCATTACTACGGGGTTACCTCGGGTCACTACGGGGTAAAAAAAGTGCGACAGCAACTGCAGCGGTATTACTACTAGCCGGAGCAATTGACCGACGTACAACACCCCGTGGGCTCATGCCCTGCGTGTCAGGTGATGAAGAGCTCGCGAAAACGAAAGGCGGGTCCACCGCCGGAGCGCGCCTAACAGCAGGTTATCATGGATTTCATCACGAGGCTCCTTCACACCTGGGGGTAACGACGTAGTAATGGTCGTCGTTGACAAACTGACAAAAATGGCCCACTTCACTGCACACAAGAAATCGATCTCAACAGTTCGACTGCACGGGATACCAGCCACGATAGTCAACGACCGTGATACGAAGTTTACTAGCAACTTATGGAAAAACCTTTGGGAGCAGTTCGGGACCAGGCTACAGTTCAGCTCGTCGTACCACCCCGAGACCGACGGTCAAACGGAGGGGACAAACCAGACTATAGAGTGGTTGATAAGAACCACATAAGATAACCCAACAACATGGGAGCAGCAGCTGCCGCTGATCGAGTTTACGTACAACAACACCACGTCAGCGATGATGCAGCAGTCCCCGTTCTACCTAAATTACGGGCGAAACCCAACAGTGCACATGACGCCGAGACCGGACAACCCAAGACCATGTGCACAGCAATTTGCAGAGATTCTGCAAGCTGCCCGGATTAGAGCCGCAGATGCAATCAAGAAAGCGAACCTCATCGCTAAGCGTAATGCTGACCGCTACCGCCGCCCGGTAACGTACCAGTCAGAGGACTGTATATTGCTCGACACACAGAAGCTGAAACACGAAACTTCGACCGCGCTATTGCAGACCATTCCAAATCAGCCACACGATCATCCCAGTTACCACCCATTTACTGTTACCGACAGACTGGTACATCGGCCTTTCATTCCACGTCAGCCTGCTTTGCCCTTACATACTGACCACGCTCGCTGTCAGAGCCGATTATTGAGCCCGAGAAGATCCTGGGTCATCAGAATCGACACCCTACAGGCATCTAAAGGATCGAGTTCCTCGTTCACCCTAACTGGAGATAGCTGGGTGCCCTTGGCCAGCATAAAAAACCACCATGCCCTGCAAGTTTACCTGGGAAGTCGGGGTTTCCGCGATGTACACACACTCACGTAGCGGAGGGGGCTTCTTGAGGGGGCAGGGTAGTGTAAGGAATTTTTGAGACATTCCTTACCGCGACCATCAACATCGCATACAACAGCAGCCGTCATTCGCCTGTTAACTGCAAACGGGCTTTCGCCTCGCCACTTCGCGCGCACTGTTTTACCAAACCATGCACCGCTGGCCTGGCCGAGTCGGCCTACGCTTTGGGACTAGCCCGAACCTCGATGCCATCATAGCACTAGCTAGCTAGCACGCGCCCCGTAGTTGCATGTTTTCACACATAATTACTCGCTCATGGCTTCGCTCATCTCGTCCGACACCTAGTGCAATCCTCGCTATCTCGTTCCATTGCACTCGTGAAAATATGTGTATAAGATACGGATTCTTGTTTTGGTAGTGCTTTATACGACTTTGTCGCCTCGGTATTGTCGAGAGTCCCTCGTCCTGTAACTGAAAAACGTACGAAACGGCAAGCTGGGATAGTGTCGGTGGAGGTCCTTCCTCGCACACGCAGTCCCCATGGAGGAGGTTTGTTTGTTTCCGTCAGATCTCTGTCACATCCGCGACACAGGGGGCACGCGATGAACATATGGTGACCAAATCGTGCTTCAGATACGATGCGTTTGTTCGTCAACCAATAGCAGAAAAGCTGCAGCCTTTTTCTCCGTCAACAACACACGATTCTACGACAAAAGGTACCCATGGCGAACGTCGTCGTCCAATAAACACGGTCATAAAAGGTAAAGGAATTACTGTACAGGAAACAGGCAGCAACCTCGGTCGCAATGGCAGGGAAGCTTGCCGCGTTCTGCCCGTCCAGGGTCGAACGGCAAGTCTCAACAACATCCGCTCTTCCCGCCAATTCCGCCACCCGGTTCCGCCGCTCCCCGAATCCCCTCCCCTCCCCCCCGAGCCATTCTCCCGCCCAAATACAGACCTTCCTCCCGCTCTGGAGCCCTCAGCCGAACCGAACCGAACTCTTCCCCCACCTCCCGTTGAGCGATTCCCCCTCTCCCGCACTCTCTCCAGTTTCCCACCCTTTACCGCTGCTGCTTTCCATATTCTCCCCATCGATCAGGTATATTCTTTTACAGTATTCCTCCACCGGATTTCTCCCACTCATCTCCTGCGCACCGCTCCCTCACCGAGCTCGCAGTCACTTTTCCGCAGTAACCATCTGCTGTTCAGTACCCAAAATATAAGGTCCAGTGTCCCTCCCACTTTTGGTGTGCGGGTTGCATTCTTCAGGATTCCATTGGTCTGCTCTGCTGCTGATGGTGCAAGTGTCTGGTTGTGCTAGCAGTAGGCAGAAAGCAAGGAGCAGGGAGGGAGGGGAGGGATAAAAGTGACTGTCAACCCAACAACACAGCAGCACTGCTGGCTTCAGTCGTGCGACCCGAGGAACACTCTGGTTTTCGTTGCTGCGTTGCTGCAATACGGTTCTTCGACGAGCACTAGTTTTCACGAGATGCAGAAATCCTGCTTGGTGTAATTTTTGAGACAGAGGGACGGAAAGTGCAGAACGGCAGACGGAGCAGCCAGAACAAGAAACAGCATGCTTCTTCCACGTGCGCATTCTCACTGGCATCTTAGCCGCTTGACATTCGAGTGACTGTAGTGTTATTGATCCTCTATCGAGCAACCTACGTGGAGCAATGTCAGCCGGTTAACTGTTAGCCAAGAAAGTCGTGTTGTCCTGCTCCTCGTCCACGCGGAAAATTGAAAGTCCATGGCTGAACTTCCAGATTCACCTTCAACCGATTTTAAGATGATGGTCGATCAACCCGGCTTAGTAGACGATGGGGTATTCAGGCATGCGGGTACGTCCGCACAAGTGGAAGATACAGGACGGACGATGAACGTAGACGTAAAAGTTGACGGAACAGATTGGTCGAATCCGTTAGGGTTTGAGGGTACAGTGTCCAGGGAGGACACAGCCATGGCCATGGCTGACGAACCTGGAAGGATCTCTTCAGGCGGAGCTGAATCTCAGCAAGAACACGATCAGCAACGGCAGCAACAGGAGAAGCCGCGTGATCAGCTTGCGTCAGGCGCTTCGATGATGGCTGACGTGGCAGCTGGCGACGGTGGCGACGGTGGCGACGGGAGCGACGGCGAGGGTTCAGGAGGCGAGGATGCTCACGCAGGAGTGATGTTTCCGCGAGCCAACACCAACGCCAAGGGGCAATGGACGCCGGTACGCCTTATTGGGTGTTTTCGTTAGGATCGTCTTGTTTTCGCAAGCAAACACCAACTCCCTGGGTCCATGGATTCCGGTACGCATTCCTGGATTTTCGGTTTCAGCTGCTCTGGAACTAACCAGACATCAAGGGGTGCGATGTTTCCGCAAGCGAACACCGACGTCAACGGATTCACTGGAATCCTACGCACTTTTTGGGTTTCGGCTAGAGATGTTCTTTGCGGGTGGGAGTGATGTTTTCGCGATTTGCGAGTGAAAACGAGCGTCAACGGATTCACTAGACCGCTGTACGGATTCGTAGGCTCTAGATTTGAGATAAGCTAAAAGCAAAGAAGAATCGCTAAGGGGGGCGATGTTTCTGCGAGCTCACGCCTAAGTGTTCAAATCCGAATCCGGTTCGGATTCTCGAGTTTCGTGTGGTGGTGGTATTTCTTTTAGGCGCCTCAAAATAAGGTCGGTTTGGACGGACGGGATTCTTAAGCTCTGCGTTTTTTAAGCTCTGCGTTTCATGCTGGAGGGGGGTATTCTTTAGTGAGGCGATTAGGCTTGAAGGGAAACGGGGAAAGCGTGGGTCACGGCACGGGGCTCTTAACTTATTCGTTTCACGCGGGAAGGGTGTTGTTTGCGAGAGAATGAATTATAAGAGTGCGGATTGTTCTCCTTCACCGCGTTCAGTACTCGAACGAAATGTCTAGTCTCGCTGCAAACGAAGGATCTAGTTTCGCTGCAAACAGCAAAAATAATCTCGCTGCACGTATTGAGGTGTACGATGTAATTGAGTTGTGGTTCTTCTCTGTCTTCGAGCCAAACCACTAGCCATTTCTTTCATTCACCCTTCATTCTCACGTTTTCCTATCACCCAAACCTCTCTCGCCTGACCCTATTATTCCTTTCGCCTCTTCAGGGGTAGGACGAGCTGCTGCGGAAAATCGTGGAGCGAGTTGTCTGAACTGACTCGTTCACTTGACTGGCTGCTGAAGAGCTTGTCAAAGAGTCTCTTGACTTTCTCCCAATCACCCAACCCTATCTTATCATTCCCTTCACCTCCCCAGGAGGAGGACGAGCTGCTGCGGAAACTCGTGGAGAAGGACGGAGCCCAGCGGTGGTCCGCCATTGCTGCACATCTCAAAGGGCGCGCGGGGAAGCAGTGCCGCGAGCGGTGGCACAACCACCTCAAGCACGGCATTAAGAAGGTGAGACGGGGAGAATTTGAATATGGGGTTAGACGGAGAGAGGTGAAACTTTGGTCAATAGAAGGTGGCGAAGCAGTGCCGCGAGCGGTGGCACAACCATCTCAAGCACGGAATCAAGAAGGTGAGACGGAGAGAAATTAGATCTGGGGTTAGACGGAGAGAGGTGAATCTTAGGTTAATACTTGTGGAAAAGCAGTGTTGCGAGGGTGGCACAACCACTGCAAGCATGGCATCAAGAAGGTGAGGTGAAGAGAATCTAATCTTAGGTTACTCGTGGGGAAAGAGTGCCAAGAACGGTGGCAGAACCACCTGAAGCACCACATAAAAAAAGGTGAGACGGAGATGTCTCACTGAGAACCAGTGCCGCGAGCGGTGGTGGCACAACCATCCCAAACGCGCAGCAAGCAGGTAAGATGGAGAGAAAGCGGAATGTTAGGTCAATACTGAATGGTTGAGCGTATCGGAATTTCTCACGGGGGAGAAGTGCCGTCAACAGTGGCACAACCACCTGAAGCATGGGATCAAGGTGAGATGAAGAAGGAGAAGGTTGTTGTTCTGACGCACACAGCAATACAGCCTGGTTGCTTGTAACGAGAAATCCCTCACCCCACCCCCCTCTTCCACCCCTTCCCCTCATCCCCTTCTCCTCCCTCTTTCCCCTATCCTTTCCCTCTCTGTCCGCCTACCCTTCCTGGCAGGACGCGTGGACGGAGGAAGAGGAAGCAAAGCTAGTAGAGGCGCACAGGAAGCTGGGGAACCGGTGGGCGGAGATTGCAAAACTGCTGCCGGGGCGGACGGACAACAGCGTGAAGAACCACTGGAACTCAACCATCCGCCGCAAGGTGAGGTTGTGGGAGTTAGAGAGCAGAGTGAGGGGAGTGGGTGGGGGAAGGGGAGATGATGGGAAGAGAAGGAAAGCAGTCTTGAGGCGAACAGAAACAACGTGAAGAACCACTGGAACTCCACCATCCGCCGGAAGGTGAGGTTGTGGGAGTTAGAGAGCAGAGTGAGGGGAGTGGGTGGGGGAAGGGGAGATGATGGGAAGAGAAGGAAAGCAGTCTTGAGGCGAACAGAAACAACGTGAAGAACCACTGGAACTCCACCATCCGCCGGAAGGTGAGGTTGTGGGAGTTAGAGAGCAGAGTGAGGGGAGTGGGTGGGGGAAGGGGAGATGATGGGAAGAGAAGGAAAGCAGTCTTGAGGCGAACAGAAACAACGTGAAGAATCACTGGAACTCCACCATCCGCCGCAAGGTGGGTTGTCAGGGGTGATTGTGTGAGGGGGTTGGGTGGGTTGGGGAAAGGGAGGCGATGGGGAGAACGGGCAAGCAATGTTGGGGCGGACAGACAACAGCGTGAAGAACCGCTGGAACTCCACCATCCGCCGCAAGGTAAGCTGGTTGGGAGGGGGATGTCTGGACGGGAGTGTCTGTGGGTTGAGTGTGTGATATGGTTGGGCGGGGGAAGGGGGGAGGGAGTCAGTGCAAGCGGTTTCAGGACGGACAGGCAACAGCGTGAAGAACTACTGGCTGGGTTTGTTGGGGGGCGATTGAGAGAGTGATGGGCAGTAGTTGGTAAGGGAAGGAAAGGGGAAGGGAGGAGGTGAAGGGGGCAAACAAGGGCGGACAGACAACAGCATGAAGAACCATTGAAACTCCACCATCCGCCACAAGGTGCGTACAGAGGGCACTGGGGGGACTGGTGGAGAGTGGTTAGTGAAGGGAAGGAAAGGGGGTAGAGAAAGGTTATAAGAGGGCATACAAGGGCGGAGAGACAACAGCACGAAGATGTAAATTGGTGATGGGGTTGGGCGGTAGTGTGGGGGAGTGGGGAGATCAGAAAGCGCAACAGCAAGACATCCCGTCACTCAAGTCCTCCCTTCTCCCACCACCTTCCCCTTCCACCTCACCACCCCACTCCACCGCGTTGCACCGCCCCACATCAGGAGGAATCGTCTCGCAGCAAGGCAGTGCAGCGCCCCACACTTCTTCTAAGGTACATCCAATCCACTCACGACCTCCCTATCTCCCACCACCCCACTCCACCCCATCACACCGCCCCACATCAGGAGGAATCGTCTCGCAGCAAGGCAGTGCAGCGCCCCACACTTCTTCTAAGGTACATCCAGTCGCTCAAGACCCCCCTTTCTTCCACCACCCCATCCCACCCCACCCGACTCCACCCCACTGCACCCCATTGCACCCCATCCCACCGCACCCCACATCAGGAGGAATCGTCTCGCAGCAAGGCAGTGCAGCGCCCCACACTTCTCCTGAGGTACATCCAGTCGCTCAAGACCCCCCTTTCTTCCACCACCCCATCCCACCCCACCCGACTCCACCCCACTGCACCCCATTGCACCCCATCCCACCGCACCCCACATCAGGAGGAGTCGTCTCGCAGCAAGGCAGTGCAGCGCCCCACACTGCTCCTGAGGTACATCCAGTCGCTCAAGACCCAGGGGGGGCTGGGGGGAGCAGCAGGCAGCACTGGCGCGGGGGGCAGTATGGGCGGAGGCGGAGGTGGTATGGGGGGATTCGGGGGGAGCAGCTTCTCCAGCGGAGGCCTAGGCGGGTTCAGCACGGGGATGGGCATGGGGGGAGGCATGGGGGGAGGCATGGGCGGAAGCATGGGCGGAGGCATGGGCGGAGGCATGGGGGGAACCATGGGCATGGGTATGGGCATGGGCATGGGCGCAGGGGCAGGGGGAGGCGGGGGGATGGGGATCAGCCTGGGGGAGCTGATGCAGGGGCTCGTGAAGGGGGAACCCGCCTCCCCCTCCGCCTCAGCAGGCCTGGGCGGGTTAGCCTTCCGCGTGGGCCAGGGGGGACCCGTCAGAGGTCAAGAAGGGCCCTTCAGAACCGCTGTGCCCCGCTCTGTCTCCCAGCCTAACAGCCATGCAGCATCAGCAGGTGGAGGGGGAGGAGTGGGAGCAGGAGCAGGTGCAGCAGGAGGAGCAGTGTTTCCCCCTGGGTCATTTAGTTCAGTGCAAAGGGCAGCAGGAGCAGGCAGAGCTGGAGGACCAGCAGCGGGAGCGGGAGGAGCAGGAGGAGCAGGAGCAGCAGCGGGAGCAGCAGGTGCGGCAGCAGCAGCTTTCCCGCGCAACCCCTCGTGGCCTCCTTCTGGCAGCTCTGTTTCCGATGGGGGGAGTTCCGGAGGGGAGGGAGATGGGCACGAGCAGCAAGCAGGAGTGCGGCAGTCGGGGGGGAGTGGGTTCACCACCGGAGCAGCAGCAGGGGGGATGGGGGGGATGAGGCCAGGGGGAATGGGGGCAGGGGGGATGGGCGCGGGGGAGATGGGGCCAGGGGGGATGGGCGCGGCTGGTTTCATGCGCTCATCATCTCTCTCCAGGGCAGAGTCCCGGGCGCGCCAGCACAGCCGTGGATCGTTTCTCGGCGCGCGATCTGGGCCGTTGGATGCGGGCCGGGGCGGCGATCGACGGTCGGAGTTGGACCGGGCAGCGGCAGAGTTTCAAAAAGAGATTGCCAGAGCTTTGCTGGCGCCTGGTATGGGGGGGGCTGGTATGGGGGGGGCTGGTATGGCGCCTGGTATGGGACGGGCCTTATCCATGCCTTTAGGGTATGCCAACACTGCAAATGCCCGAGCTGCCGCTGCCGCCAATGCTGCTGCTGCTGCCAATTCCGCTGCCAACGCTGGTGGTGGTGGTGGTGGTGCTGGTGGTGCTCCTCCGGGTCTGTCTCTCTCCTTCCCCACTCCCGCGAACCCCGCCCAGTCCTCCTCCTCTGCAGGCTCCCCGTCCAGTCACCCCTTCTTTTCCCGCTCGCGCTTTGCTAAAAGTTCGTCCGTGCCGGGGAGGGTTTCTGCCTCTGGGTCGGAGGATGGGGGCAGAGGGGGATGGGGGCGGAGGGGAGGGGACATGGGCGCAGCAGGGAGAGTATGGGGAGCAGGGGGAGCGGGGAGAGCAGGGGGAGCAGGGGGGGCAACAGGGGGAGCAGCAGGGGGTGCGGGAGCAGGTGGGGGAGCAGCTGGTTCGGAGCTGCTGGCGCTGCTGCAGTTGGTTCTGGATCCCTCCCTTGCTGCTACCGCCGCTGCTGCTGCTGCTGGCCCTGGGGGTGGTGAAGGAGGAGGTGTAGGAGGGGCAGGAGGAGGAGGAGGGGGAGGAGGAGGGGGAGGAGGAGGGGGAGGAGGGGCAGTTATGTCTGCGTTGGATCAGGTGGCGAGTGTGCTGACTCCCGAACAGCTCGCCCTGCTGCTCAAGGTGAGTGAGGCCGTGGGGACGCTTGGGATGGGCGACTTTGGGAGGGGGAAAGGCAGGAGGAAGGGGAGGGGCAGGAGGAAGTGGAGGAGGGGGAGGCATGTGTGCTGGATCAGGTGGGGAGTGAGCGAATTTGCTGCTCTTTCAAGTTAACCGATCTCGACAGTTTCCCTTCTCAAGCACTCCTGTGCCATGTGCCTGACTGCCTGGTGTGTGTTGCACTGTCGTGCTCCATTGCAGGTCCTTCAAGGGGATGCTCAAAGCCCTGGCAGCGCACAATCGATGCAGCAGCAACACCCGCAGCAACACCCACAGCACCAGCACCAGCAGCAGCAGCAGCAGCAGCATCACCAGCAGCAGCAGCAGCAACATCAGCAGCAGCAGCAGCAGCAGCAGCAGCAGCAGCAGCAGCAGCAGCAGCAGCAGCAGCAGCAGCAGCAGCAGCAGCAGCAGCAGCAGCAACAGCAGCAGCAGCAGCAGCAACACCAGCAGCAGCAGCAGCAGCAGCAGCAGCAGCAGCAGCAGCAGCAGCAGCAGCAGCAACAGTTACAGCAGATGCAGCAGGCACTGGATCTACAGCTTCAAATCCTCAACATGCAACCGCAAGCCGTGCAATCCCAGCCAATGGACACATCTACTCAAACTGCCGATCCGAACACTGCTGCTGCTGCTGCTTCTTTTAACACCAACACCAACGCCTCTTATGTTGCTGCTTCTGCTGCTGGTGCTTCTTCTTTTAACGCGGACGCCTCTGCTACTGGTTATAATGCGGACGCCTCTGCTGCTGCTTATAACGCGGATACCTCTGCTGCTGGCCCCTTTGCACTGGACGGCAAGCTGCCGGACCTGTCAATCGACCCGGGCCCGCTGGACTGGGCGGATGGGGACGGCATAGACGTGTTTGCACTGGAGGAGGGCGAGGAGCAGGCGCTTGTTCTGGCAGGCACTGCTGCTGCTGCTGGCGCTGCTGGGGGAGCTGCTGGGGCTGTTGGGGATGGTGGGGTGGCTGGGGGTGGTGGGTTAGCTGGTTTGGCAGCAACGGTAGAGGCACAGGGGGTGCAGCAGGCAGAAGGGTTTTCAGCTCCTGCTGCAGCAGCAGCGCAAGGCACAACAGCAGCGCAGGTTACAGCAGGGCTTTTTACAGCGCCAGTGACTGCTACCACCGCTACTGTCTCTCCTACTGCTCCTCCTGCTTTTGCTGCTCCTTCTGCCCATCCTGCTGGCTCCGGCTTTTCTTTCCCTGCTATCAGCCCCAAAGCCAGCCCAACATCTGCCCCCACTGCTGCTGCCTTCACCGTTGCCCCTACAGCTGCGCCTGCAGCTGCATCTGCAGCTTCCCCTGGTCTCTCCCTCCTCGCCCCATTCCCCTCCCCATCCGCCCCTTGGGGATCTGGCTGGGACCACGCCCCCTCCCCCGGCAAATCCAAGCCGTTGATCGAGGAGCTCCGGTTCCGTCCACGGCTGGGATTTTCCGAGGAGATCGGCGCAGGGCGGATCAGAGAAGCACATCAAGACGGGGACGGAGATGAGGACCTGGAAAGCCCCAGCTCCCCGTCCTGGTTCCCGGACCTCCGCCGAACCTGCAGCGACAACCCCCGGTCCGCATTCCCAGCCTCGGGAGCCTCGTCCCCGGACCACCACGGAACCCGGGGGGAACGGCTCTTTATACCCCAGAAAAGCGGGCTCGGCGGGGGAAAAAGTGCCGCTGCGTCTCTCACCCTCCCCCCTCTCATGTCTAAGAAACGATCTATCTCCAGTGTGGGTCCTACCAGTCCCCGCTCCCAGTCCCGCTCCCTCCGTCCGTCCCTCCGTCGCAGTGTGGCAGGACCGTTACCAGACGCGCCGGTTACCATCATCGATGGGACGATCCAGCTGGTGGGAGGGCTGAGTCTCAACTCCAGTAAAGCGGACGGGAGGAGTGGCGGCAGGGGGGACGGGAAGGCGGATTCCCCGCCTCCTCCCTCGCCCCTGCCGCCTCCCCGGCCGCCGCGGCCACAGGCGTTTCTAGGAGGAGGCAGCGAGAAAGGGGGTGGGGGAGGAGAGCAGCAGCAGGTGGCAGCAGCAGGAGGAGCGGGAGGAGCGGGGCTGTGGGGCAGTTTCAGCAGCAAGCAGAGCCGGGCGCTGCTGCAGGCAAACCAGCTCAACCTGTCCCCACGGTCAGGAGGACCAGGGGGAGGGGCCTCCTCGTTTGCACAGGACAGCGGGTTTGAGGGGGAGGTAGATCTGGTGAAGGCTGGTGGCTGGGGGAATGCGGGCAGTGCAGGGGGAGCAGTTGGGGCAGGTGGGGCAGGAATGGGCGGAGAAGACGGGGAGTTGGGTGGGGAGATGGGCGGGGAGGTAGGCGTATCTGGGCAGGCTATACCTGCGTGCCAGCCGTTCAGGATGAACCTGGCGAATGCGAGGTTCAACCGCAGCCGCAGCATGCCCATGGAGCGTCCGCCGCCCAGGAGAGGTAGCAGTGCGGTGGGGACCGGTGGGCATGGAGTGGGCAGGAGTAGCGGTTTGGGTGGGAGCGGTGGTGCTGGTGCTGGGGGGACGATGGCTAGCCGCTTTGCTTTCCAGGGCAATGCTGGTTCTTCCAGCGGTGGTAGCGGTGTGGGTGCTGCCACTGCTACTGCTGCTCTGCGTGCTGGTGCAGACACTCCTATGGGTGGAAACACGGCAGGTGGCATTGCAGCAACAACAGCAGAAGTAGGAGGCATAGGAGGAGGAGCCACAGCTGGGGTAGCAGGGGCAGCAGGCAGCGGGTCAGGGGCAGGGGAGCTGCTAGACTCCAATGTGGCTGATCTGGTGGCCGCATGGCTGTCAGAAGAGAGTCCGAACGGTGTGGACGGCAGTGGTGCGGGAGGCACACAGCAAGGGAATGGGGGAGGAGCGCAGGGGGTGGGAGGGATTGTGGGTGGGGGTGCGATTGGGGGTGAGCTAGTGCAAGGGGGGGAGAATTCGCGGCCGAGTTTGGCGCAGCTGCAGCAAGCGATTGGGGAGCAACTGAAGGTGAGAGAACCTGGGTAGGCCTTGTCCACTTGTTTATTTGCACAGTAATTGCTTCAGACGGAATTTTCTTGTTTAATTCAATATTCCATTATTCAACATGTCTACCACGTCCATGCTTTTTCAATAATGTCCCTAAACCATGGCAGGGAACTGGGCCAGAGTCTCTGTTTCCCTCGCCTGGGATTTTCCCTGAATCGTCTGGGCATCACTTTGGTCGAAGTGTTTCGTGCTTCACCACAATTGACGGGCCCAGTTCAACATCAAAAGGTTCTGATGCCGCAGCCATAGCTGCGGTTCTTGCTTCAGCAGGCCTGGACGGATTAGATGGATCGCCAGGCTTGCTCCAACGGCTTGTGGATTTTACTTCTGGTGGGCACGGTAGCCAGCAATAGCTACATTTATTATAGCTCAGAGGCATAATTTTGATTAGGATCGTTCTTTATCAAAGCCAACCCTCTAATAGTGATATTGTTTTCAGAAACTCGTACAAGGATGCCCTTTTTCGTGCATTGCTTCCGCGATCAAACTCTATCCTCGTTTGAAATTTCCGGCGCTGCGCGAGAGCTGGAGGGACCAAGAGCAGAGCAGGGTGGAATCGAGCAAAGCAGAGCAGCGTAGAGCAATATATTTCACTTTTCTGGAGCCGGTAGCGGTCGGTAGCGCCCGGTAGCGCTACCGACTGAGTCAGCACGCTGCCCGCGGGCAGAAAAAATAAACCCATGGCTTACGGCATGCCATTCGGGAGCCTCAACCCTAAGATTTTAGGGTTGAGGCTCCCTCGGATGGCATGCCCCCGACTGGGGTTTATTTTTTTTCTGCCTGCGCTGACTCATTGCACTGCCTGCTGACGCAGGCAGTGCAATATATATTCCAAAGCATTGCAGAGCAGCCAGCCAGTGAGTGCGGATTGGATCCATTCTGCCTGTGGTTTCTCCGTGTTTCGAAATTTCCATTCCATTACTGCAGTCTGACCTCGTCCCTAGGAAGAAGGCGTAGACACACACTCATACAAAGGAGCCATGAGTGCCGCTGACATTTTAACCCGAGTTGATGTTATCAGACGGCGTTATGAGCCGTACACGAAGGAGACTGTTACGAAGGAAGATGCGACGGACAGCTTCACGACTTTGTATGCAGCGATTACTGTAGAGGTGGAGGAGGTGATCGAGGTAAGCGATAAATTGTGGTGGATTCAGGTTCTCTCTATCCTTAAAATTGGACGATTATCGCATATGCGCCGTCGCAGAAATCAAATGCAGCTGTTATTGAGAGGAATCTGGCCAAGGTCGCTGTCCTCAATGCCGAGATCAGGCGAGCTAAAGACATTCTGCAGAAGGAGATTCAAAGGCTCGAGAAGCTCGCACATCGGAAGGTAATATATCAATTGGATGTGGACAAAAGCATTAGTATGACAACTTGCTAAAGTGAATCGGACTTTAGGTCAAAGGAGTTTCAGCTGACGAGGCTGCGAAGAGGCCAGACATGGTCACAGCGCTCTTGGAAAAGGTTCAGGCAATTCCTGATGGCATTGCGCGAGGAGGTGGGAGGACCGTCGCATCTTCACGGGGTGTTTCAGACGTCCAGATTGACGCTCTTGAAATGGGTAAGTCATTGACATGCGCTGGTTATTGAGATGTCTGGCTTAACAATGGACGGTGTTTTCAGGCGACTCTGGACCAATCGGAGATCACTTTATCTCAACGGCTGAATCCAGGGCTTTCAGAAGTGAATATACCCGCCGAGTCCAGAAGCAGGTATTTGTTGTTCCCTGTGTGTCAACATCAATAGAGCTCACGCCACTTGTCTTGCAAGATGCACCGATCTTGCCTCCACTATTAATCACGTTATACTTTACTTGCAGGATGTCGAGCTCGAGTACATCTCCAGTGGACTTGAGAAACTGAGGCATCTTGCTCAAGATATGAATGAGGTACTTGGTTTAACGACATAACGACGCAACGCCCACACGACGAGTTCCACATAATGTATTTGCTTGATTTCAGGAAATGGATCGTCAAGAGCCAATGCTAGAAGCAGTAGAGAACAAGGTAAGCTGCTGGCGATAAGATATTCTCATCAGGATGGAACCTCTCGACTCAAATCAATCTTTGTTTTGTAGGTTAACTCGACAACTCACACGCTAAGGAACAATAATAAGAGGTTAAAGGAGATTTTGACCGAGGTGAGTACTTTAAATACGTGGATTCATTCATCTTCTTGGGTTTTTCTAACACTCGCTTATTGGTGTAGGTCCGATCACCACGGAAGTTCTGCATTGACCTTATACTTATCCTTGTGCTTCTTGGGATTGGAGCATACCTCTATAGGTACTTGCTCTGTGACCGTACTCCGCATTGTCTTTTGTGGATCTCAGTTGACTCACCAGGATCTGTTTCATATGGCAGTGCTCTCAAGTGAGTGATGCAGACAGATCTGGGGTTTGTAAGCAAACTGACAGCAGTATTTGTATTCGTGCATGACACATCTGGCATTACCATCGCGCTATTTCGATTAGTCATTTAAGCTTATCTCATTATCTTCAACTTAAATTAGCAGTGCTACACTCCCAACCAACCTTTCTCAAGTGGCTGAACAGCCTGGTCTTCTTAAAGGCGGGGTGCAACTTCTTAGGAACAGTAGCAGGACAAAAGTTGCATGTGCGTAAAGGGTCGCTTATTGGGTGAAAAAAATGGAATCTCACGACAAGACAAGCCTCTCGCCACTTAACTGCCTGGAACAACCAAGTTCCAAGCTATAATAGCATGAAGTTGAAGGTGATAGTTGACCCACGGCTTTAACGAGGAAATTCCATCTTTGAACGAAGGTGACTTGGAATAATAACGAGCATAAGCCTGGGGATGGCCCCCGAGAGAGCCTTTCTTTGGGGGTGGTTCGGGGCCGATAAGGATGGCCAAACCACGGTCTCAAGAACCAGTCTACGCTTTGCGGCATCATTCATTGGCCAATCAGATAACTAGATGTTTGGTGGAGGGGCTCTACCTGATCCTGACAGTCGGCCGACGGCCATTCAGAATCCCGAAGGTCCAGTTTCCCCAACACTCGGGCCTTGTTCTTGGGCTTTCTGTTCCTTCCCTTCCACGAATGCGTTGGTTCGCATGGGGGGAATGCAGTGAATTCGGATCTCCAAATGGCGGCGCGAGCACAAGCGGCGCAATTACCACCACGAAACGTCTCGGTCGGATGGGCTCACTGTTCTGCGGGGGGCACCCCGGGGCTATAGGCTCGATATTCCGCTAAATTCCAGCTACGTACTGTCGCCCACGTGGTTCCAGTTTCGATCACCAAGCCAGCCCCAAGCCAACTCGGGGGACGAGCGCGGTTCGCCGAACAAGGGTGTGTGATACAGTAGCACTTGACTTCGATTGGACTGCTTTGTTTGAGTGTGCTCCAGGATTCGTCCATTTTCGTTCGTAAAATACACGTGTGTTGTCCAGAAAAAGAGCACAATGTATGGTAGTGTACGTCAGCTGCGGTATTGGCTGGAAAGAGCGACAGCAGTGAAGCTGTCACGCACACGAGTGTTCAAAACGCATCACCTTTCACTCCGTCGCTTGTGGGGGGAGGGGAAAGGCTGAACTCAAACATTGTCATGCGTTTCCTATCGGCATTTCACATCCTCATTCTTGTCTTCGACTCAGTCGTCCCCTTTGACAATTCCTCCCTCCAGTCGTCCTTGCCTAGCTTCGCTCCCAAGATACGCCACATCCCGCCGCATCCTTCGGTAACGTTATCGCTCATTACAGACGTCAATTTCCTACTCAATTAATACTAGCATTAGTATGGCGCGCTTCTTCCCAGCTTCCGACCCGGCAATCGAGCGGCATTTCGCGATGTTAGACGCTGCGGCGGGTTCCGCGTATAGAGACGAAGAGGAAGCATGGGAGCACGCGGGCCGTGACGGAATTCGCTCGAGCCACGGCCACTATTTCCGAAATGTCGAGCCGAGAGCGATTGAGGCGACTCGAAAGGAGCCCCGTGAAGGGATACGATCCAGCCATGGCGGCTCCTATTTCCGCGATATGGATTGGAGAGCCGCTCCGATGACCGACCGAGCTTCAGGTGAGCGAGTCGCTTCCGCGTTCAGTTCCTCGCATTCACGATAATGGCTTGATATTCCAAGACTCAGATTTTATTAGCCCCATTCTCCGACAAGACAATTACCATTTTCTTATCCCACTCGCGTCCTCCTCGTTCGTTGTCCCCTTGCTCCGATCTACGCAGAGTCGGCGCGCGGCGAGCGTCCCCGAAGCGATCCCCCGCACACGCAAAGCGAATCCGCGCGCAACCGCTGGCCCATCGGCGGAAGCTTCTCACTCGGCGGCTCCAGCGCGACAAGACGCGGCGGCGCCAGCAAAAGCCCCCTGCAGGCATTTCGGGCCGCCGTTTACCAAGCACCTGGACCTTCGAGTGAAAGCGGCGGCGCGGGAACTACTATCTCCTGCACGGCCCCTCAATCGTCGGCGACAGCAGATGTTGCAGGCGTCGCGGAGCCTTCGTCTGTCAGACGATCAAGCACCTACACAGCTCTTCCGGCTGCAAGCAGCGTTGCTAGCAGTCAAGTGTCGGGTAGCCGTCAAGAATCGCCTAAGAGCCCGTTACTGTTCGTAGCCGGCCGCTCTCCCTCTGAAGCGTCTTCTAGCAGCAGCGAATACACTCCCAGGGAAACGTCCTCCGTCACGGAGACGGTTGGTAAAAATACTAAACCTGAGACGGATTTCAAGGGCAGAATAAAAGCGGGGGATTGCGCTGTGAAGGTGTTGGGCGGAGCAAATCCCGCTGCCGTTGAACTGTACTTCAAGCGGAAGGCGCAAGAGAGAGCGCGTGCTGCTGCTCCTGCTCCGCGACCTGCGGCTGCCCTTGCAGTAGTTAGTGGCAGCTGATCATGCACTTTTCCTATGAGGCTAGTACCTATACATTATATATGATGCCTACACCATTTCATTGAATAATGTTTGTCATAACATTATTTTAATTTTACTAGAAACAGATGTAACTGTATGCAATGCAGTCTTGATCGGCCTGATTTATCCCAAAGATGAGTTAACGTGAAGAGGAAATACACTTACAAGTACAAATTCAAGTAGAGAAATATAGCTTCTACAGACTGACTGGCACAGTTTATTCACCTCCGCAATACCCTCGCATCCCTCTGCGCCTTCATCCTCAGATAAGCCTCCACAGCAGCAGGGTTGGCTCCAGCCCTCACACGCATGGACAGCGCAGCTTTCCGAACCGGGGAATTCTCCAATGCCATCTCTTGCGCACTCCATCCCTCCTGCCTCCCCCCATCCCTCCCTGCACTGGATGCCTCTCCCCTTTTCTCGCCCGTTCGCTCACTATCCACCAAACCTACTTCCGCGGTGGGGTGCGATTTGGAAATACCGAACCTGGTTCTCAAGCCACTCGGGCTCCCGTTCGGACTTCCGTTATTGTCACTCAGGCTCGGGCTGTTACCAGCACTGTTCCAGCTTAGGCCCGAGGCGCTGCAGCTACTCCTGCCTGTAACACCACCGGAAGAACCTTCGGCAGCAGAAGGTAGGCCCCCGAAGCTATGGCTCGACGCCTGCGTGTCTAAGCGATATTTCATGAGAAATGGATCCACAGAACCGCGCAGGACCGCATTGGAAGCTGGCGGAGAGCTAACCATAGGCTGCGCGGGACGGTCCTTGAGGCTTCCGGTGCTTTGCATCCTCGCGGCGCTCCCGGCGTCGGGAACGGCGGAAGCGACGTTGTTGGTAGAGGCGGAGGGCAGACATTCCCAAGGCACGACGAAAGGTGCAGCGAGCGAATTACCTCCCGTCGTGGGCGGCGCTTGTTTGTCGTTTGAAACGTGTAACGCGTGAAGAGCAGCTTGAAGCTGAAGTTGCTCAGAAGTTTCGGCTGATGATGTAGAGTTCAATCCTTGCAGTTCGTCGTCTTCCTCCAAAAGATCCGTCAGATCTATACCGTCGATCTGCAAGTTGCTTGAATCCATCAGCGCGCACGACCGTTCGATGTCTGCGGGGCAATTAGAAACGATACGGAAATATCAAGAGGTGGAAAACGAAGCGATTATCATCACGCGTTACGCGTTACATCATACACATTGAGCATACAAGACTCATCTCACGGTAGTCAGCTGTCAAGGGACACTGCGTCATAAAACGCGACAACGACATTGAGCATACAATCGATGCATTGTAACGATTACACTAATAACGCATACGTACGAGCGTTTCAGTGAAAGCAGCCAGCTCACCTTCCCAACCTTTCTTCGAAGACGCACTCGCAAACGCGTCCTTGTCCATTTCTCGAAAACGTTCTAGCGGTGTTCCGATGTTGCTCGTGACTTGTATGCTGCAGGCTGCCACGGCACAGGTCTTACTCGCCATTCACCGCTAATCTCATATATTTCTATGCTCAGCTGATCACGGCCTGCTCCTGAATCTAATGCGAGGTAGTTGGTAGCGTGGAATGGTTCTTTCTTGTGGCAGAGAGTACTGTACTAAAACAGAGCCGGAAATCTGTATCAGGGATTCTTGATCAGCTTCTTTGCTTGCAGGGAATGGAGGACGGTGACTGCGGATGTATTTTATGCGGGTGCAGAGAATCTAGAAATTCCAAGAATAAAGTGGATGCTGTGGGCGGAGATGGATAAAGCGCACAGGAGGTTCGGGGGCTGAGGAGAGATTGGTTTGGGGAGGGGGCGGTTGGAGGGGATGTGATGAGAATAGGGCCCGCTTGACAGGGTTGTTGCGACGCGGCGGAACGCACGTGCAGGGTGGGGAGGAAACATGCGTTCCGCCGTGTTGGCGCGAGGCCTGAATGCGCACACCCCTCCGTATGTGGTGGCGATTGGCGAAAGATTCGCACGATGGTGTTCAAACCGAAGAGGGGAGCGGAGCGGAGAAGGGGAGAAGTGAGAGAGGGACGGGGAAGGTTGGCATGGAGGGGAACGCAAGGAAATCAGACCAGAAGCGCACGCTGGATTTTGGAATTGATCTCTGATCGGGTCTCGGGCTGTTACGGAACGATTTTGTACGGTGCAAAAGGGTCAGATGCGGTTGTACTTTTGACACTTCCTAGACCAACCTGCTCCTTCCTCCCCTACATATTGGGGATTTGCCAAGCAGGTGAGGGCGACAACTGCGGGGGTGGCAGGGGATCAGGTTGCTGGTGGTTTGGTTAGTGCTGTGGCTTGGGCCGTGCCATGCGAATTACTGTGTACCGAACGTGTGCAACGACTGCGTCTGTTCACGCGCCGATGTGGCAAGCACTTACAGCTGTGCTGTAGTGATCTGTCCTTTCCTCTTTTGCCATTGGTTGACACTGAACTAAACAAACGTTTGACTCGTGGTTTGGCAGGCTTTCCATGTGGCATCAATGACCCACCAAGCAACAGCATCAGCATGTGACAGGTATGACAGCTTGATGTTCGGCAAATCAATGCTGCACCCATGCTGGGCGCAGTTTGGGCAGACGCCGACTCGTGGGCTGTTGACGTGTGCAGTGCCAGAACATCTCAGCAGGGGTCGGTTCGGGGTGGAGTTTTACCGGTTCTAAGGATGGAGGGGAGGGTGTACAAGCACACAGTTAAAAGTAAAACTTGTCATGCGCTGTTAGGCCCCTTGGACTAAATCCGTAAAAAAGAGCGGGGTCGATTAAGTCGAGGATGAAACGAGGCGGGGTGGACTCCGTTATTTTTCCTGGCCCATTTGCGGTATCTTCGAGGTCGGTTAGGGACATATTAGTGGAGCAGGACGTCGTGCGACTCTAAGCCAGTGTGGAGTTTTATGCCTCAATCAATAAGTTTAGGGTTCAATGAGGACATGGTGCGCGAATTGCTGTCGTGCACCTTGGCCTTCAACCTTTGCACGACAATTCTTTGCACATTGGCCTTCAACATTCTATTGTTCACCACGATTATTGACGTAGGGACGGCCTTTGAGACAAAACGCCTCAATTCAACCAAACGTTATCTGTAGCAGCTGTCGAGGTACCGAGTAATGTGGTGGTTTTTTGTGTCATGCGTGAGCTGAGCGAGGAGTGTCAGAATTATATTCTTATACCTGCATGTAGTTCTAGCTGTAGTGTAGATATTAACTTTATAGGTGGTGCACCACTTTGTTTGCTATATGTACCCTAGTGCTATAGTGAACATCCATTCTTCTCTCATTCTCGACTCCCTCCTTGGCACAAACTACCTCGATTGCCTTGGGCCTAGGCTTAGCCTAGGCCCACTTAAACCCAACCACCTTTCCCTTGCCTAAGTTCTGAGATGGTATTAGAGCCTGTTAAGTCCTGGCCTGTGGGCCAGCCACTCGCTTCCGCTGATGATTTTCCGGTCGCGCGCCTCGGGCGCGTTGCGATTTTCGTTCTGTCCCGCGCCCGGGTGGCGCGTGACGTTTTGTCTGAGCCGCCGCGGACCCGCCTCTGGCGCTCGGGATGGTGTCCTGAGCCGCCGCAGACCCCCCCCCCCCCCCCCACCCCTCCTCCTCCTTTGTCTCCCTGCTGCGCGTGCAGCCGTGGGGGGGAGGGTATGGAGGTGGCGGGTATGGGGGTGATGGGTGGTGTGTTTCCCTTCCCCTCCTCCTCCTTTCGTTCCCACTGCTGCAGCTGCCGCTGGGGGGAAGGGTGTGAGGCCAACCAGCCGCCGTCCCTCTGAGGTGGGCGGGGGGAGGAGGAGAGTAAAGGGATGGCAGGAGTGCCTTCCCCTTTTGCTGCTGTACGTGCTGTGTTGCCTTGCCTGCTATTTTCTCTGTCTGTGGTGTACCCCTGCAGGTTGTGTTCTGCACTTAGCTATTCCTGCATGCAGTTACGGGGGGATGTCAGAATTATATTCTTATACCTGCATGTAGTTCTAGCTGTAGTGTAGATATTAACTTTATAGGTGGTGCACCACTTTGTTTGCTATATGTACCCTAGTGCTATAGTGAACATCCATCCTTCTCTCATTCTCGACTCCCTCCTTGGCACAAACTACCTCGATTGCCTTGGGCCTAGGCTACTAAGCCAAGCCTACTTAAACCCATTCTGAGAAGGAGTGGTATGATAATGTGCAGAGTGTCAAATTTGAGGAAGCGCTCTTGTGTGCTTCGCTTCATGGGCGTTGGCTCTGTTTCGTACTAATGTGAAGGGTTTTCTGTAGTTGAATTGGTTCATTAAATCCCTATCCTCTTTGCCGTCATATTTCCTGCCCATGGTGAAGGGCTGATGCTTTCCTGTGAATCCAATGGCTCCACTATAGGTTCAAGTGAGGGGGAGCGTGGGCGAGGTCGGCGTCGATTTTTAGGCTGCCGCATCGCCATGTTGCTGATGATGTTTCATGCTTCTCCGATTTGGGATCCCTGTGGCTGGTGCTGAGTTTTTTCTTGCGAAGATCAACTCTTCAACGGTGGGAGCTAGACTACGGGGTAGGCATGAGTTGTCAGAGTGATCGTAGCCCTGACTGTGTTCTCTAGCACTTGTGCGTTCACAGGGCAAAACAGCAAGAGTTTCACTAAGGAAAGTTGAGAATACATAATGAACTAGCAATAAAAAGAGTGACTACAACGGATGCAAGGTTTGCTAGTGCACAGGCAGGTCGATCGCCAGGATGACAAAGTCGTCGACCAGCCAACGTAGCAACTCCGCAGCCAGTCAACGCAGCTTGTGTACGACTTGTCAACACTGCAGAATGGCGGCCTGACAACGCTGCACCCACACAGCTTGCCAACGCTGCACTCGCGCGGCCTGCCAGCGCTGCCTTCGCAACTGATTGTAAGCGCATGTGCAAGCACCTATGATCGCAGGTGCACGACGTGCATTGTTGCGCACATTGTGCAAGTGCCAGGTCGGCCACATGCAGATGGTTGCACCTGACTAGCTACGTCGACAACTCGCTGCCACGTTGGTCGACTTC